TCACTGTATAACATGTCATTATCTAGTTATAATACTGATACTAATTATTATTCTTCCTAGTGCTGCTCTCTGCCCAAATTCTTCCACAGCTCCCTGCCAGCTGCCAAGACCCCACAGTTTCTGCTTGCCAGACACGGTTTCTTCTGTCATGTTCCCTCTTCCTCATTCGTGCGGGCCCCGTCTCCAGTCCATGATATTGTCTTGGCCTTTCTTGGCTCAACTGGTTCATTTTTACATCCTCTGGTCCCAGCATGGTTCTCGCCCAGAGTTTCTGCTCCCACTCAGTGACATTTGGGAAACGCAAAGAGGGCAGGTCACAAAATGCGCAGGCCGGATCCTGATTCTTAGAGGTCCCCGAGTCCTTCCCCTGCGTTTCCCAGCGCAGAGCGAGTGCTGCCTCCTGGTCTTGCGGGGTGTCGCTGGCATCCTGATGTTCTCATGCTTGACAGAGTGGGACCTGACGGGGTTCCAATAAAGTCTTGAGCCGGTCAGTGTGAAGCATTCTTTGAGATGCGACAATTCGGATGTGAAAATTCTGATCGAGGCAGTTTTGTGGCCACGCTTGAGCATTGTGTCTAGCATGAATCTTACCTGTATCGTGTGCGCGCGAGCATCGAATGCCTGCAAGGGTCTGGCAGGTAAAGTCAGCAGCGTGGGTGGTGACCATGGCCAACAGGAGGGCACAGACCCCATCTCTAGCCTGGGCGGCAGTGCGATTAGGGGCCCCGTGTGGTCCTGTCCTAATCTTTTTCAGAGAAGGTGGATATCTTCCCTCAGATATATAATCTCTTGGGTGTTTTTTTTTTTTTTTTTTTTTTTTTTTTTTTTGATCCTGGTGACTAATTCATATTAGGAAGGAAGGGAGGAAGAGAAAGTGGGAAGTAGAACAGGGGAAGAAAGAAAGGAGAGGAGAGGAGGAGGGGGAGGGGGGGAAACAGTGTTTGAGCCCAAACAGAACAGGCGGTGGGTTTGATTGATCCTTTGATGAGCAGTTTGTAGCCTCCACTCTAGAGAATGAAATCTAGTGTGAGAAAGCAGGTATTTAACATTTTGGGGGGAGTGTTTTCCTTTTTATGGTATTTTAATGTTTATATGCAAATCTTTAAACCCGACAGCAAGATATTAACCTTCATGGCCACTTACTCTTCCCGATTGGATCAGACGTAACAAGTGCTAGAAAGCGGATGGTGCCCAGTGTTTTAAAATGTCTTCTCGGGGCGCCTGGGTGGCGCAGTCGGTTAAGCGTC